AACAGTCTGTGCGGCTGCTGCAGACGTACCACTTGGTTGTGTGCCAGCTTGTACAGGGAAGGGGCCTGACATCGCCGTTAACGGCAACGACGACTGTGCTGCTGGCCTAAATCCTGGCCTTTGCAAAAGGTCCAAGATCTGGTCAAGAGAGTTCTGCATGAAGTCTAGTCTGCTGTCCACATGCGCATGCAGCGACAACATGCTATTCTTCAACACTTTCATGTCGTTAGACATGGCTGACTCATCCAACTCCTCTAATGCAGCTTTGTCTGCCTCTAATGTATCAAGCCTGGCTGTTCTATTTTTTATTTCTCTTTCTCTATCGGTTGCTTGCTTCAGTTCCCTCTCTAATCGTTCACGAATCCTTTCGACCTGTTGGAGCTCTCGAAGCTCCCTTTCCCGTGGGGTCAACGGGCTGAACTGCGAGCCCGCCATTTGACTTGTAGACTGTCGAGAACCTACTGAACTGGAAGTACCCATGGACCCTGTGGGCATTCCCAACTGGGTCCCAGACGAGGACGCAGCAGAGGATGCTGTTGCGGAAGCCATGGCTGCTGCTGCAGCCTGTTCCCTAGCTGCGGCGTTCGCTGTTTCCCTAGCTGCTGCTAGTGCATGGGCTCTGCGTTCGGCACGAAGCTGTCCTTCGTCTCCCAGCTGTAGGGCTTGAAACATGTGCGGGATCCTACATGATCTCGAACGTGTCAGTCTTGCATCGTCAAATGTTCCCTCATCGATGTCTGACCCGTTCATCAATTAGGCAAACATTATCTGCACTAGAACCCCCTAGTGGAGTCCTACCATAGCATGTGTCTGACCGGCACCTAATTTTCTAAAAATAGTTGCGTCCGGCAGGTCCCCTACTTTACCGATCAAGTGGCAGCCTACAACATTCACTACAAACTGTCAACATAGTATTGATGTATCTTGATTTGTTCACTTACAGCAGCATTAGATAGAACTGGCTATGGTAGCATACAACAGTCCTACTCTAATCTGTCTGTGAGGTGTTAGCAGTCTGTCCACCAACTAATCAAGAATATAAGAAGACCATGTTGCAGATGTATGAATAGTGGGTATGGTTGTGTTTCCAGTTGAGCATCAATTAGAACCTACCCTTCCCCTCAATCCAACATATCGGTAAGCATCATTGAGCAGCGGTGTCTTCGTGTGCAATGGCGGCCCACCCCTGTGCCCAAGTCATTGCCGAGCAAGCCAGCCAGTCCACTCTTATTTACCCTTGTACGGAACGAGCCTTACACCTGGTTGATCTGGCTGATCAGGAGGAATTTTATGAGAGCCCCCATCTCCTCAGGAATTATTTAACGTCGCAATCAGGACGACAATCACAGCCAGAATCAATCTGAGTCCCCAACCAGAAATGTTTATAGACGGTCTGGTAAGCGTCTCATAAAAGGCTGGCACACCCGGCAGGACTTCTATAGCGCAGCATAGTGCCAAAATGGACAAGAAGCCATCGCATGCGTGACCTACTCCCATTGGGTTGGCATGGTGACCGTGACCCAGTGCTTCGACCAGGGCCCTTCAGAGGCACCGCCCTTTCTCCTTCCAGATGCTTCCGGGAAGATTGTCGTCTCTCAAGGTAGCGCGCTCANGACCCAGTGCTTCGACCAGGGCCCTTCAGAGGCACCGCCCTTTCTCCTTCCAGATGCTTCCGGGAAGATTGTCGTCTCTCAAGGTAGCGCGCTCACGACACCTCATCAAAAGAGAGGACTCTCAAGTTGGACTCACTTCCCCGCGGTAAGAAGAGATTGAGAGAGTAGATAAGGTAAGGGAACAACGTACCTGGAGATAGCTGCCCCCAACCACAGATTTCTCACCAATTGAGTTGAGTGTGCATTTGATGACCGGTCTTGGCCTTGGTACCACCCACCACGCAATGCAGTGCCACCTCAGCCGAATGCCACATCAGCATGCTCTCATCACCAATCATACATTCCGCCTGTCACCACGGCAATCAATGCCGTCTTAGCCTTCCGGCGCACACCTCTCTACCCAGGATGTGCACCTAATCTGGCTTGACGTCACAAGAACCAACTGCGAAGAAGCATCGTCAACGCACCAAGTCTGTATAACGCCAGCGCACCAAGGTAAGTGGCGAATCAAACCAGCTCTGATACCAAATTGCAAGGAACATGAATATGGACGAAGCACACAAATCCAGATTGCAAAATCACACTGAAGTCCAAGTAGTCAAAGCAAGAGCAGATAGCACAATGGAACCGAGTAACCATCCATTTGAGAACGATACAGAAGAATCGTGAGTCAATGTCCAAGCCCAACAGGGCAACACCAACAGCATAACCCAATGTAGCTCTCTCTCTTGAATGGCGCCAGGCGCCCTACCTACTCTACAGCCTAACACTACAACTACAGTATGAAAGCAACCAGACAACTTGACGACCAGCGAGTGATGATGTCAACTCCAATGCYGACCTCCCACCTCCACCAGGTACGTCTCCCTCTTCACCCACACTCTCCCTTGTTATCCCACACAACGCCCTTCACCTCTGAAGAACCACCTTCGCCCTTCCTCCTCTGCGCCCTCAGGCAGCCCCGCTATGGCCGCCAGCGCCCTGCGCCCAGGCAGCGCTCTACCGCTARCGCTTGCCTGCCTCCKCTCAGCCTAGCGCAGCGCAGCACCCATGCATCGCAGCAGCGTGCCGGCCTTGCTCGCAATGGCCAAGATCCCTGCCCACTCGCCCTGCTTGCCTATATGCCAGTGTTGCGTGTGGGCGGCCTCCCTTGAGCCTGCGCCTGGGCCCCAGTACCTGCACCCAGGCCCAATGCGGTTGGGGCCTACGCAGTGCAGTTGTGCCTCTTTCATCCAGGCCTGCGTCCAGATTCAGGCAGTGGACCGATATCCCATTGGCATTTTCGGCCTCTATTTCTAGTATGCAATGTCGGCCTCACGTTTATGTGCCCAGGGCCTAACCAACTCTGGGGCCCTGGGATTTCTGCATTTGCAGAGCTCCGATACTCGGTGCCTCCAACCAACTGGCGTGTTGCAACTGTATGGACCCCACTTCCTGAAATGTTTGCACAGAGGGCTCTTGTTGATTTGCTGGCCCGCCTTCACTTAGGGCGGGCACGAGGCTTGCTTGGGCCTTAGCCCAGAACATGTACATCATGGCAAGGCCCCTTCTTGAGGGCTCAATCCTCACAGGAGGAGGAGGAGACAAGAAGAAAGGAGGAGGAGGAGGACCTGCCGATTTTGAAGTGCTTTGATGGGGGGGAAAAAAAAAAAAAAAAGATGACGAAGGAGGAGGAAGAGGAGGAGGAGGAGGAGAAAGGAGGAGGAACTCTGAACTTCGGCTGACACGTGGCACGTGGCACTTCGACTGATAAAGAAAACTAACAAGGAGGAGGAGGAGGAGGAGGAGAAAGGAGGAGGAGAGAAGAATACGAAGGGAGGAGGAGGAGGAGGAGGAGGAGAAGGATCTGGCGGTTTCTTGATACGTCGACGAAAAAAAAAGAAAAAGAAAAGGATGACGGAGGAGGAGGAGGAGGAGGAGGAGAGAGAGAGAGAGAGAGAGAGAGAGAGAGCTGACACGTGGCACTTCGCGCAACGGTACCGTATCGACGACGTCGGGCAGCGGCGGCGGCAGTGACGACGGGAACCTCGGTGATGGCGGGCAGCGACGGGCGTCGACGGCGCGAGCACGACCTCGACGAAGGCGGGCAGCGACGGGCGTCGACGGGGCGGTCAGCAACGGGCGTCGACGGCGGGAGTGCGACGGGCATCGACGGGGCGGGCAGCAACGGGCGTCGACGGCGGGAGTACTACGTCGGCGCGGCTGCACTTCGACCACACTACCATGGGCAGCGGCGGGAGCAGCTCGATGCTTCGAATTCGAAGCTGGGGCGCGCCGAAAAATTTTGCACGGGGGGGCGGGGAGGCTCCCAAGGCCCAGAAATGTCGAAACAGGCCTCCCCCCCCCCGGCGCAAAAATGCACTGGGCCCGCCCGGCATCGAACCGGGGGACCCAACCGGTCGGGCCGCCCGGGACCCCTGCCGGACGGAGGCTGGGCCGCCGGGCGGCCCGGAATTTAACACAGAAAAAAACAACAAAATTTCAAATTTTCAAAAGAAAAACGAAAACGGAAATTTCAGGTGCTGCACTATTGCGATTTTCCACAACAGAAATAGCGGGAAAACAAAATCCAAGAAAAGAAATAAATTTTGATTTTCAGCAGTGAGGTCAAAATCGTGATTTTGGGGCCTAACTAATGTGCTCTAATGAATCAATCAAGACGTATCAGCTACCTTGTCCCCACACACGTGTCAGATCAGGTTGTCCTGATTCACATGCGGTGTTCCGATACCAACTGTTACATGCCCAGTTGGACGATGTACATATAAACCGAGGATCCACAATGTGATAAAAAGGACTGAATGGACAATGCAGTGCTTGTGGAATCTCAACAAACAATGTACATCCTGATACATACAAAATGGTGCTTGATAGCGCAGTGGAAGACTTAGATACAAGTCCTGACCTGACCGGGACTGACCTCCTTCACTTAGTACAAGATAGCGCAGCAGAATGCTAGAATACCAATGACGAACCCACTCAATGTTGCAATGTAGACTAAACATACATCATCTTCATCACATGGTGTGAAGGGAGCCTGGCGCTACACACAGGAAGAATGCGCCAGGTCCAAATCATCCACAGACGAAGAGGAGGGAAACAGACGAAGAAGGAGGGGGGAAGATGGGAATGTCGTCAACACCAAGTCTTCGTTACAGTCCCAGATAACCCCTCGTCAAATGTCTGAAGTCCAATGTCGAGTCTGGATCCAAATGTCACCAAGCTCTCTCTCTCTCTCTCTCTCTCTCTCTCTCTCTCTCTCTCTCTCTCTCTCTCGCTCGCTCGTAGT